GAGACCTGGGAAGATGGCCTCAAGTGGCCAGCAGCTGCCTTGCGAAGGGCCAGGCTGGGTACATCTCATCAGCAGTGGGAGCAAGAAGAAGGCGAAGGTCAGCTGGGGCAGTGGAGCACAGGGCGGCAGGGGCCTTGGAGTGCAGGCTGGTGAGGGCAACTGCAGCTGGGACTGGGCAGGGGCAGCTGAGGCTTCTTGAGATGGCTGTGGCTTTGCACCATGCTGCTGGGCCATCTGAGACTTCCAGGGGCAGCTGCAGCTTGGCACTGCAGCCCAGGAGCTTCTTGCAGCCCCAGAGCCATAGCATGCCAAGAAGCTCCTGAGCTGCAGTGTAGCAAGCAGCCCCAGAACTGTGTGGTTCTGGGGCTGCTTGCCACCCCACAAGGCAGGATGTGGATGGCCAAAAGGGCAGAGATGGGGGGGAATAGGCAGTTGGGGGGAGTTGAAGGGGAGCCAGTCCTTTACCTTGGAAGAACCAAGGCTCGGGGCTGGGGGGAACCAAGCCCAGAATGGTTTGGATTGGGGTGGGTCCTTGGCTAATGACTACTGGAATTTGGTTAATGGTGGCAATGGTGAGTGCTGAGATTGTCGTAAGTAAATGATGCTGTCACATGATATCACGCTTTATGACCACATTGCTTAGCAATGGAAATTCTGGTCCCAATTACTGTCGTAACTCAAGGACTACCTGTCTGTATATCTGTTACTACATTCTCTTTAGAGTTAATCAAGGGGTTCAGATAAACGTAGCTGGCAAAGAAGGAAAGGACAATGAAGCCTTCTTTGTAATGTTTGAGAGGGAGGCAGCAGTATGTCAATACCCCCAAAAATGTGGGTGGTACATCTAGCTTCTGTTCTCACTGGCAAAACCTTGAGAGCTTCCTCTAGTCTTCCAGCCAGAAAGGGGACAGAGTATGGGAAAGTGGGAAAAGAAGTTTAGTACTGGTATGATGTATATTTACTGGCAGAAATTCATTCTTATGACCCATAGGAGGAGTTTAGAGAGTTGTGAGCCATGTTGCTGGATTTAGGAATCAAATGGCTAACTTAAAAACAATAAATTAGTGGTTGAAGAAGTAGTCCTTCAACAGTTTTTTGAAAGTCTTACCAAGTCCAATAGGTTCTGGGTTCAAGATTACCATCCTGAGGCAGGCAAAAAAGCAGCAGGATTAGCAGAGGATTATTTAGTGGCCCAAAATGAGAGTGAGAGCAGAATGACCTCCATGCAAGTCCTATATGGAAAAACATTCAACAAATAATAAATTTGAATAAATAAATAAATAAAACAATAGATTAATCTCTCAACAGAATGAATTGTAAGGTGACATAAGAAAAGAGGCTATGGAAATTCCTTGGAACAGAATGAAAAGAATCACGTTCCAGAGTGCCCCAGAAGTGTGTGAACTCGGATTTATGCTCATGGGAACTCTGAAAAAGAATGCTTGGTGGGATGATGCACTGAAAGAGGTTGTGGGTGAGAAAAAAATGAGTGTAAGAGAATAATTTAATAGAAAAAAATGAGAGAAAGATACTGTATTATGCAAGTAGAGAAAAAGATACGAAGAATATAGTCAAAGAGCAAAGAATGTTTAAGATTAAAAGAGGCAAGTAAAGTGGGGAGTGATTTTGATAGGCAAAAAAGTTATAATGCCTTTATTTTTTTGTTATCTCATGTCTTTAAGTTTTTTGCTTACCAATTGGTACTCTTTTTCTGCACTTTGCATACATTGCTTACCTTCAAAGGGAATAGCATGATGGAGATGTATGTATGTATATTTCTAGCAATATTGTCTTCACTTACAGATAGTTATCCTGAACAAGATGCTTAGGGGGCCCATTGCCAGCTTTAACTAGTTCATTTGGAAAGTTTAAAGTTAAAATAAAGTGATACTCAGTGCTGATAAAAGCTGTTTTGCAGATCAGTTGGTTGTTCTAAAAAGTGGTGTTCAGCTTGCTCTGGATAGAGCTGCCTCCTTTCTAAAAACCAATACAGTTCACAGTTTAGAAGTTTTCCTAGGTCCAGCGGGGTCACTTGAAGCTCAAGATGTACATTCTCTAGTGAGGGCTGATGCATCAGCTGAGACTTTTCCAGGACAGGAATAATCTAGCAACCTTTATCCATTATAAAGGATATATTGCATATGGGACTATTCTTGGCTTAGTGTTATGGTTAGACATGGGTAGGATCAATTACTGGGAAAAACTTATACTGAAGCTGAAAGTGCTTCATTGGCTTCAGGACATCTCTGAGATCAGCGAAAACTCAATGCTCTGTGTTAATTTATGGGTTCCTACAAGATTTGTGGCCCAGGTACTCAAAGGAATACTTGCTTCCAGATCCACCTTCCCACACAGCGTAGAGTTTAATCTACTAAGGTTCTCTCCTGAGTCCCTTGCTATGAGAGGTGATATGAGCAGTGCCCAGAGAGAGATCATTTTGGTTATGGTTCCCCCATCTGTGAAGCTATCTCCCTTGTGAGATATACAGTGGTTTCTTTTCAGGGAAAGAAGGCAGCGGCCTTTGCACTTTAAAATGCTTTAATTGGCTAAAGTAATACTATTTTCAGTGCCATTTTTAGTAGATGCTATTGTATGTAATTTCCAGCACGGTAACAGATGCATTGCACCTGCTAGCAAGGATGATATGGTACTTCTACAAGCCAAATAGGTCAGCTTCTAAGTAAGGGAATTAAAGGACTTCATAAATTGGAAAATAAAAATAGAAACATACCACTGAAGTACATTTAAGACTCCCTGTCTCTGGCCTCATGTTTTGGGTATTTAAGAGAATTAGAGTGAGAATTAGAGAATTAGAAAGAAAGGTGTGTAATTAGAGTTCATTATCAATTTTACTACTATTTATTTCTTGCATTAAAGAAGTGCTATGCAAAATGATTGTCCCCATGTGATATCAATTATAGCTGATGTTGATGTTTGATGTTCTAGTAAATAGAAATCCCTGCAAAGAGGACTACTTCTTCCAATTTTCCCTTCCCAATCTTTAAATTTTACTTGTTAGCCTAGTGTTGCCTCCCAAATATTTATTTGCAGACAACTTTTTCAGTCTGTGTATACAGAAGAAAATAGTCTCTTGCATCTTAAAGTCTGTGCTACAGTTAACCAATTCACTGGCAATGCCCTGCTAGACTCTTTGTCACTTGTGCAGGGGTTATCAGGCAGAAAGATAAAAAATTCCAGATTGTGTTTTTCTGTGTCACCTATTTATGTCTCTTCCTTAACATGCATCTTATGTTATTATACTGTGATTCCCCAGAAGGATGCTGAAAGAAAATCAAGCAAGATGCTTATTTTCAGAAGAGCACAAAACCTGAGCTCTTTTTTGCATTAAGCTTCAAAGTCCCATGTCTGAGCCACTGACCTTATCCCCTCATAATGGAACCCAGCACAAGCAATCTTTGGTACCAGTTCACACGTGCTGCAGGTTGATATTCATCAAGTGAGAGAGATGGATTGAGTTATTAATGCACAGCATTAGGCAACTGAGTATAGCAGTTCATACTGCAAGTCCATCACTGACCTAATGTAATAATTATGCCTCCATGCTTTGTGCATGACTGCATCCTATACATACAGTATATGCAGCCATGATCCCAGCAGATGCAGAATTGTTCTAAACAAAGTCATATTAGGCTGTGATTTCAAAGGAGCACTCGGCATCTTATTAGGACAGAAAACATCCAGACCTCATAAATGAGTGTAATATAAATAAGATTAGGTCAAAACTGTGTGAGTTAATTTTTATTAGGTGTACAACAGGTTTTTTTTACCAACAATTGTTAGAATATACTGAATTAGATATTCGAGAATATAGGGAGGCCTGGAATAAGGAACTGGAATGTCTGATAAATGAACCTCAGTGAAGAATCATCAAGGGCTCACTTCTATAGATTTAAAACTGGAGACTTACACATTTTTAAGGAAGGAAAAGGTGGGTTCATCTAATAGTTGTAGCGTTGACCATGCAAGGTTGACTCATAAAATGTGATCAAGTATTGAGGTTTTCCTTTGGAACAGAGTTTTTTTTCACATAATTTGCTCTGGAAGATGCATTGATTGTTATAGATGCTGATGGATTTTTGAATTCTCTGTGAGTCATTTTGAAAGGAGGACAATGGAAATAGATACGACACACTTTTATGAAACACCAGAAAAACAGATATTGAAGCCTAGAATGACATCCATTCTCCATCAGCTATACATGGTCTGCAGAAATTTCTCTTTCTATATTTGAAGAAGCATTCTACCACTGGGGGAAATAAGGGCACATACACTAGTTTATATGCTCAATGCTCTTCCCCCACTTTGTTAAATAAACTGACTTAAATGTTAATTGAATAATATGCTATTAATATATACCTGAAGACTCTATACCTCATGTGCATAGAGTCCTTGGGGTTCTCTGAGCTTGGTTGTTTTCTTGCAAACGTTTCATCACCCGGCTAGGTAACATCTTCAGTGCTAGAAGGGAGTAGTGGGGTTTGCTCTGCTTGTATACAATGCCAGCCCTGCCTGTGTATATACATATCTATCTATATCTATATCTATATCTATATCTATATCTATATCTATATCTATATCTAT